TTCACATGTGACTCACGTGAAGACACAGCCCTGTGTTCTGCCTGTTCCACTTTGCTCAATAGAATCCGCACTACATCTCGACTCCACTCCCAGAAATCCCCCAAAGCTGTAAAGCTGGCAGCACCCTCTTTGCCCACTTTTGTGGCCTCTCGGACTGGGTGATACTCTTGATTGAAACTGCAAGCCCATGAAAGGTGTTTCTTCCTTACCCACGCCCAACAACTGGCTTTAGCAGCAATATCAAACAATTTCGCGGCGCCTCCGCGCTGTCTGCTCAAGCACACTTGATGTAAAATGGCAGTGGGGCATGTCTCAAATGTAAAATGGCAGTGGGGCAAGTCTCAGGCTCGCTCCCACAAGAAATCCGGGGTCAGTGGCAATAGCAGTCAGTAGCAGTCAGTAGCAGTAGCGGTAGGTGTAGCAGTAGCAGCAGCAGCAGTCGCGGTCGCAGAAGCAGTAGCAGCAGCAGCAGCAGTCGCAGAAGCAGTAACCGCAGCTAGCAGTAGCAGAAAGAGTAGAAGTAGCGGTAGCAGTAGCGGTAGCAGCAGCAGAAACAGTAGCAGAAGCGGTAGCAGCAGCAGTAGCGGTAGCAGTAGCGGTAGGTGGCAGTGGCAGCAGCTGGAGCAGTAGCAGTAGCAGTAGCAAAAGTAGTTGTAGCAGAAGTAGTAGCAGTAGTAGCAGTAGCAGTAGTAGTAGCAGTAGTAGTGCAGGGCTACGCATGCTTTCATCTAAGCTTTCGATTTGCAAGATTATGCGGCCTGAGGCTCAAATGAGTTGAATAACACATCCATCGCAGCTCGAAGCACGGGATAAGAACCTGCCCTGTGACGCAAAAAACAACAAGGTCCAGCCCTTATTGCTTCCTATATTGACTATCCAGGCGTGGACTACCACGTCCTAGGCCTCCATGGGGCCATGGGAAAGCGTCACCCCTGTTTTGGTTGTTGACTTCAAAGGGAATCCTCTTCCACAAGGGACAACTGCAGATCTGGGAGATGGCACGCTGACCCCGTGCTCCTCATATTGCTGCATGCACTTCTTGATGGTCTGGGTGAGCGCTGCGTTGAAGCGAACCTTGTAGAGACTTCACCAATCCAAACAGAGGCTCACCGCACGTAGTAAATCGACCGTGGAATCAGAATGGCTGGATGTTGGAGAAACCTTGCCAGCTAAACACGGACAACAGAAAACTCACAAATGTTCAACCGCAAGGGTCTCCTCAAGGGCTCACTGCTTCTGACCCGCCAGAGCACTCTCGGTATCTGGCTTAGTTCCCATGAAAAAAGTCCTCAAACAGATTGATTACTCCTCCATAAACATGCTTTGGCTGAGGAGTCATGTTCCTTTGCAGTGTGCCTCCATGCGTTTGCAAGCGCCTGTCTCCCTCGAAGGGGATGCTTGCGATCCAAACAACACCTGGGTGCCAATCCAATCCCAACCTGTTTGGCGCAACTTCCACTGCGCCCTGAGATCATTTCAAGAAGATACCAAAACTACCTACAGCCCAGCATACAAACATATGCATTATAACTGTATGTATACATTATATAGGCGTGCATCACTGACATGCGGAAACTATTGAAGTCAAATGGATTAAACTGACTCACATTCCCGGTTCTCCTTGTTCATTGAAACAGCTGCGTGCGATGGTGCCTTTATAGCCAAAGCCATAGTGCGCTTTGCTGTCATTCGCACCAGCTCGCTTTCCGACAAACCCAAAACCTCACCCAAATCTATGTCTGAGTTTTTTGGTGGCTGGCTAAATGCCGGCCTCGCTACGAAACAAAAATGCAAATCCAACTAATACCCAACCTCCAGCGGCCACAACAAGCACACCGATAGAAACAATCACAAGCGCAAGAACAATAACGACGACGAGGACAAAAACAACAACCAACATGTTGCAGCACTCCTCCTTTTAGTCGTCGAGAGACGGCAGTGTTCAGGGCTCCAGCTCTTGCCACCCCAAGCTAGACTCAAACCCACGGGTGGTTGTTTTACCCACCTGGCAAAGTCTCTTTATTGCCTACCTTAGTTGTTATGCGGGTCCTCAGAAGGGAACGAGGCAATGAGCTCGTGGGTGGCTTCCCTAAAGGGTCAATTCTCCAAACCCCAGTTGATTCCCTTGGTTCACGGAAAGCTGACCTTGTTAGTTTTCGGCATGGTAAGATATTATAAAAGGCCGTTGCCGAAACAACCTGGGACCCGGGCGTTCCCCTTTGCGACCGCCTCTGGAAGTGCGGTGTTCACAGCCGGTGCCGGCACCGCGTCGGCCAACTGGCCCGTGTCGGGCTGTGGAAAAAACCAAAGGTAAGGTCGAGCTTTTCGGAAGACTACCAGGACTTGTCGCCAGGACTGGTTGGATGTGCGCCCCTCTTGGGTTGGGTGTAAGTAGGTCGAACATCCAAGTTGTGGACACGAAGTAGCAGGGATGCCGAGGAATCTATACTCCATTCACTTGTCCAAAGCACACGGAAATTGCAGTTCAGTCCTTTGGGAGCTTGAAGAGCACATGGACCATGGAGAAAAGCAAAAAGCAAGGCTGCCAACAGCTGCGGCCAGCTTCAGGTTCAGCAGGCGGTTTCAAAGCCAATCAGAGGTTTGCGGCCACAAGCGCAAAGTTGGCTCGAAATTAAAGTAGCCCCCTCCCAAACATACATGAACCCTTGATGAATCTATAATGTGTGGTAGTCTCATCAATGCGTGGTTTTCAACAATCCCTTGCCTCCAAATACTAAAACATTAGCCTGTAGTAACCAAGTTTACACCAAACTCATCTTCGACCCCAGCTGCCTCATATTTAATCAATACCTCAATTACCAAGCCAGAGTGAGACAAATCTCAAGTTCAGACAACTACATACAAAACAACAGCTGCGGACAAGTTCCGATAGATTCCTTAGTGCAGTTCATTTCCATTTTAACGGTAGCTGTGCCTAAGGGGCTGCTTGGACAAGGAGCTCCCAAAGGATTGAAGAAAGATGCAAGCCCCTTTGCTTGCGGAAATCGCCTCTCACGGAAAGAAACTATGGCAACTTGCTTGAGTAATGTTGGCCCCGCATGAATAGGCCCCTCTGTTAATCAGACGGGGGTCCACTTCCCCCCCGATAAATACGGCTGCCCTACTGATGTAATGATCAACATTATTCAGGGGGAATGCTTCACAGGCGCCTACTTTGGCAGTGCAGGGCCCGTGAATCGTTTCAGAGTCTGATGTCATATCTCGCGGACCACCAACACAAGATGACTGGATTCAAATCCAATCACCTCCAACATGGCCTTCAAAATCAAGGTGACTGTTTGTGCGGGGGAATCAGACCGTCTTGTGGGACTGGGTTGCTTGTGCCTTTCTCAGCTGTATCACCTTGGGATCACAATCGCCCAAAACTTCCCGAAGCATCTGTGAGTTGACACCTTCGGAACTCCACAAAAGCAAAGGTCAGTTCAGTTGGGGCCGGGGAATGGTCCCGGCCAAACACACAAGCCATGCTCAAGTCATCATCTAGCAATGCGCGGTTGGCTTCAGTCAGCTTGTGCTTATTTGCCACTCAAGTCGACAATGGCATCCCAAAGCAACATCCAGTCTCCTTAAGGTGGACTACCCTCAGGCAACTGTGTGAAGCTCGAACGATCCTAAGAGTCTTGAGAAGGTAGTCAGGTTTGCTCCGAGAAGCCTGGCAGACAAGTAGAAACATTGGCCTTTGGTAGGGACACCAAAGGAAGCCAATCCATTGTTCTACCCAGATTTGGTCATCGTGAGGATCAAAGGCCTCGTGGTAAACTCAAAGGCATTCGGAGTGAGACTTGGGTTTGTTCTTTCAGGGAGCCTCTTCCTTGGTGCTTTTAAACCCAACCCAAAAGGAGAACCATATTGTTGGGCGGTCCCCTAAAACACACACGACACGCACACACACACACACCCATTTGAATTTTGACAACCGGCTCTTCGAATCGCCTGCACAGTGGTCGGTGGCGGCAGCACAGGCTTGAACTCCGGCGACTGCTTCTGGCGTGAGAATGGCGCCGTCTCAAAGCCGGTGAAATCAAAGGCGTCACAAAGAGATGCCAGTTACAACTAGACTATAGTGCGTATCTATCAGTTAGCACTTTTTAGCAGGCGGCACAGTTAGCACATCCCTGGGTTGGCCGGAATGCCCCCGTCAGCCCCGAACAGTTAGCACACACCTGCCACACCCCGAAACCGAAAGGGGCGACCAACAGTTAGCACATGCCTCTCTGGTTGTGGGCAGAGATACGCTTTCTGAAACGAGCAACTTTCGCAATGCAGTACAAGTGTAGTAGAGGAAGTACACTTGGCAGATCCGTCTCAAAAGTCGCAACTTTTCAGTACAAGTGTAGTAAAGGAAGTACACTTGGCAGATCCGTCTCAAAAGTCGCAACTTTTCAGTACAAGTGTAGTAAAGGAAGTAAAGTTTGGCAGCTCCGGCTCGAAAGCCGCAACTTTTCAGTATAACTGTAGTACAGGAAGTACGCATTGGCAGCTCCAGCCCGGACGTCTCAACTTTTCAGTACAAGTGTAGTACAGGAAGTACGCATTGGCAGCTCCTGCCCGGAAGTCTCAAGTTTTCACTACAAGGAAGTATGCCTTGGCAGCTCCGGCTCGAAAGTCGCAACTTTTCAGTACAAATGCAGTAAAGGAAGTAGATTTGGCAGATCCAGCTCGAAAGTCGCAACAAGGAAGTACATTTTGGCGGCTCCGGCTCGAAAATCTCAACTTTGTGTAGCAAAGGAAGTAGATTTGGCAGATCCGGCTCGAAAGTCCAGTACAAGCGTAGTAAAGAAAGTACACTTCGGCAGCTCCAGCTTGAAAGTCGCAACTTTTCAGCACACGTGTAGTATAGTGCGTATCAATCAGTTAGCACTTTTTTCCTAGGCAGATAGCACATTACTGTGTTGGCCGGAATGCCCCGTCAACCCTGAACAGTTAGCACACACCTGCCACACCCTGAAACCCAAAACAGCGGTCAACAGGTCGCACATGGGGCTCTCTGGCTTTGGGCAGGCGAACAGAACATCAAAGGGCTACATACGCTTTCTCGAATGCTCATGGAAGCACACGTGTCAAATCTTCACTAAGCGTAGAAACTTGCAGAACCCAGTGAGCCTATGAAGGAAGGGTGTGCGGTGGACTGGCTTACATGGAGCTTGCGTGGATAGGTGATGCTTTACTTGGCCCTAGTACTTTGTTGAACGTTATTATTGTGTTACAGTGTTTTCGAACTTTGGCAGCTCCGGCTCGAAAATCGCAACTTTGTAGCACAAGTCTAGCTACGCGAAGTACACTTCCGCAGCTCCAGATCGAAAATCCCAACTTTGTAGCACACAAGTCTAGCACGCGAAGTGCACTTCCGCAGCTCCAGCTCGAAAATCGTAGTGCAAGTCTAGTGCGCGAAGCCCACTTCCGCAGCTCCAGCTCGAAAATCGCAACTTTGTGGTACAAGTCTGTGCGCGAAGTACACTTCCGCAGCTCCAGCTCAAAAATCGCAACTTTGCAGTACAAGTCTAGTACGCGAAGCACACTTCCGCAGCTCCAGCAACTTTGTAGTACAAGTCTAGTACGCGAAGCACACTTCCAAATCGCAACTTTGTAGTGCAAGTCTAGTGCGCGAAGCACACTTCCGCAGCTCCAGCTCGAAAATCGCAACTTTGTAGTACAAGTCTAGTACGCGAAGTGCACTTCCGGAGCTCCAGCGCGAAATTTGCAACTTTGTAGCACAAGCCGGGCACGCGCGAAGAACACAAGTCGCGACTCGCCTTAGCGTTTTACGGCGGCCACGCAAGTGTCCCACCCCAACTAAGCTGCAACTGCAGGGGTCATTGTAGAGCCACGTGTTAACTAACGGTTCTCGTTTTTGGGGGAGACCGTATCGTTGTCCGTGGCTTTTTGGAGTCGTAGGCCAAAGAGTACCCCCTTTACCAAAGTGGTCTACACGTGTTTTGTCCGTGGCTCTTTTGTGTCCCACGACTTGTCAGGGTGAAAGACAAGAGTTTGCCAACATACAAATGGATTGCCAGGTGCCAAATTCTACCGCGTTGACGTGTGGAAATCCAGCAATGCAGCTCCGGCTCGCAAGTCGCAACTTTTCACTACAAGTGCAGTAAAGGAAATACACTTTGGCAGCTCCGGCTCGAAAGTCGCAACTTTTCAGTACAAGGAAACCTTGGCAGCTCCGGCTCGAAGGTCGCAACTTGTCAGTACAAGTGCAGTAACGGAAATACACCTTGGCAGCTCTGGCTCGAAAGTCGCAACTTTTCAGTACAAGGAGATACACTTTGGCAGCTCCGGCTCGAAGGTCGCAACTTGTCAGTGCAAGTGTAGTAAAGGAAGTACACTTTGGCAGCTCCGCCTCGAAAGTCACAACTTTTCAGCACATGTGTAGTAAAGGAAACGCACTTTGGCAGCTCCGGCACAAAAGTCGCAACTTTTCAGTACAAGTGTAGTAAGGAAATACACTTTGGCAGCTCCAGCTCAATGGTCGCAACTTGTCAGTACAAGTGTAAGAGACAAAGTACACTTTGGCAGGCAAACGTACAAACGCTCGGGCTCCCGCTTAGGGCGACACGGATGCCACGCAACAGGCGTCAGCAAATGGAAGAGCAACCGCGTTCGAGTTTCTGCTCAGGCCGAGCACGGGTGCCACGCAAGGGCACAAGCAAAGGCAAGCGAAGCCACGCTCGGAATCCCGCTCGGATCCCGCTCGGGCCGAACGCGGATGCCACGCAAAGGCCTCAGACCCTCTTGCGGAAGCCAGGCAGTTAGCACACGCCAGACCCTCTTGCACCTCGCTTGGCCGTGTCAGCCTGCCAGGATGCAACCGCGCTTCTCCTACAGTATTTGCCGTTTCCTGCAACGGCAGCCCAACTGTCTTGATAATTGAATTTGGCTTTGGGATTCACAAACAACGGGTCCCTAAAAGCCTGGCAACTCCACCCCTGAAAGCCTGGCAACTCCAACCCTAAAGCAATGCTTCCTGCAACTTGAAAGAAAGGGCGCCCGTAGAATAAAACGACACTATCAGTTTTGCGTCCAAACGCAAACACAGTATTGTAGCAAAACCGTTGGGCCACCAAGTTTCGAAGTGAAGCTGACTTGGGCACCGTGTACAAGCTTTACCCGCAAGACAAAGACAAGTTCATAATCATGAAGAAACACCGTGCCCTGGTTTTACTCTTGAAAGCCCACAAGTTTTGCCGGGGCCGCGCCCGCAAGCAGGCTTGGGATCCCGCTCGGGCCGAGCACAGACGCCGCGCAAAGGCGCTGGTAAGGACCAAAGCAAAGCAGACACGCTCGGGATCCCGCTCGGGCCAAACACGTGCGCCGTGCCAAGGTGCAGGCATTATAAGGACCAACGCAGCCACGCTCGGGAGTCCACTCAGGCCAACTATGGATGCAGCGCGCAGGCGTAGCCCGCTCGGGATCCCGCTCGGCCCGAGCACGGGTGCCGCGCAACGGCAAGAGCAAAGGCAAGCGAAGCCAATCCCGCTCGGGGCGAACGCGGATGCCACGCAAAGGTGTCACTTGCGGAAGCCATACAGTTAGCACACGCCAGATTCTCTTGCGCCTCGTTTGGCCGTGTCAGCCAGGACTCTTCGCATTACGCTTGCCAACGCGCTTCTCCTACAGTACTCGCCGTTTCCTGCAAGGGCAGCCCAGCTGTCTTGATAATTGAACTCGGCTTTCAGAAATAAAAAAGAACGGGCAGCCATAACTCCACCCCTAAAAGTCTGACAACTCCACCCCTAAAGCCATGCTTCTTGCGACTTGAAAGGGCGCCCGTAGCAACAAAACACGACATTATCAAGAAGCTCGCATTGTCCGAGTGTTCCACCATTTGGCATCCAAATGCAAATGCATTATCGTAGAGGAACAGTTGGGCCAAACTCAAGCTGGGCTAGGAAACTGTGTAAAAGCCTTACCAGCAAGAGAACTGCAAGTCCATAATCCTGAAGAAACACCGTGCTCTGGTTTCACTCTTGAAAGACCACAAATACGCTCGAAGTTTTGCCGGGGCTGCGCCCGCAAACAGGCTTGAGGCCCCGCCCGGGCGGAGCACAGACGCCGCGCAAGGCGCTGGTAACGCGCAGAGGACCAAAACGGCCAGGCTCGCTATAGCCCGCTCGGGATCCCGCTCGGGCCGAGCACGGATGCCACGCGAAGCACCGCTCGGGAGTTCCGGGGCGAGCGCGGATGCCACGCAAAGGCCTCAGACCCTCTTGCGGAAGCCATACAGTTAGCACACGCCAGACCCTCTTGCGCCTCGTTTGGCCGTGTCAGCCAGGGCTCTTTGCATCACGCCTGCCAACCCGCTTCTCTACTGCAATAGCTGTCATGACAATTGAATTTGCCTTTGGGATTCACAAACAACGGGCCCCTATAAAAGCCTGGCAACTCCACCCCTGAAGCAATGCTTCTTGCGACTTGAAAGGACGCCCGTAGCACACATCAACGACATCATCAAGAAGCTCGCGTTGTCCGAGTGTTGCATCATGTTGCATGCAAACGCAAACGCATTATCGCAGCGGACAGTTGGGCCCGTGTAAAAGCTTTACCTGCAAGAAAAAGACAAGTCCATAATCCTGAAGAAGCACCGTCCTCTGATTTTACTCTTCAAAGCCCACAAATACGCTCGAAGTTTTGCCGGGGCCGCGCCTGCAAACAGGCTTGGGATCCCGCTCGGGCCGAGCACAGATGCCGCGCAAAGGCGCTGGTAAGGACCAAAGCAGACATGCTCGGGATCCCGCTCGGGCCAAACCCGTGCCAAGGCGCAGATAAGGACCAACACCGTCACGCTCGGGAGTCCACTCGGGCCAGCTATGGATGCAACGCGCAGGCGCCTGCAAGGACCAAAGCGGCCAGGCTCGCTTGCCCGCTCGGGATCCCGCTCGGGCCGAGCACGGGTGACACGCAAGGAAAAAGCAAAGGCAAGCGAAGCCACGCTCGGGATCCCGCTCGGGATCCCGCTCGGGGCTGCCACGCAAAGGCGTCACTCTTGCGGAAGCCATACAGTTAGCACACGCCATGTAGACCCTCTTGCGCCTTGTTTGGCCGTGTCAGCCAGGGCTCTTTGCATCACGCCTGCCAACCCGCTTCTCTACTGCAATAGCTGTCTTGACAATTGAATTTGGCTTTGGGATTCACAAACAACGGGCCCCTATAAAAGACGGGCAACCCCACCCCTAAAGCAATGCTTCTTGCGACTTGAAAGGACGCCCGTAGCAAAAATCAACGGCATCATCAAGAAGCTCGCGTTGTCCGAGTGTTGCATCATGTTGCATGCAAACGCAAACGCATTATCGCAGCGGACAGTTGGGCCCGTGTAAAAGCTTTACCCGCAAGAAAGAGACGAAGCACCGTGCTCCGATTTTACTCTTCAAAGCCCACAAATACGCTCGAAGTTTTGCCGGGACCGCGCCCGCAAACAGGCTTGGGATCCCGCTCGGGCCGAGCACAGATGCCGCGCAAAGGCGCTGGTAAGGACCAAAGCAGCCACGCTCGGGATCCCGCTCGGGCCAAACCCGCGCCAAGGTAAGGACCAACACCGTCACGCTCGGGAGTTTAATGCAACGCGCAGGCGCCTGCAAGGACCAAAGCGGCCAGGCTCGCTAGCCCGCTCGGGCCTTGCAAAGGCAAGCGAAGCCACGCTCGGGATCCCGCTCGGGATCCCGCTCGGGGCGAATGCGGATGCCACGCAAAGGCGTCACTCTTGCGGAAGCCATACAGTTAGCACACGCCAGACCCTCTTGCGCCTCGTTTGGCCGTGTCAGCCAGGACTCTTTGCATTACGCTTGCCAACGCGCCTCCTACAGTACTCGCCGTTTCCTGCAAGGGCAGCCCAGCTGTCTTGATAATTGAATTCGGCTTTCGGAAATAAATAGAACGGGCAGCCTTAACTCCACCCCTAAAAGCCTGACAACTCCACCCCTATAAAGCCATGCTTCCTGCGACTTGAAAGGGCGCCCGTAGCAACAAAACACAACAT